GCCAGTCATTCTCTCTCAGCCCTAGGAAGCAGACAAGGGCAAACTACTTTGGAAAAACCTGGCCGAAAAAACTTAGCCGGGCAAGTCATCAGAAGTAAAAAAACTAATATGAAGGCATGTGCACATGCTCTCTCTCCCTCTCTCTCTCTCCCCCTCTCCCCCCCCCCCCCTCCCCCGTTTCCCCCTCCTCTCTCTCTCTCTCTCTCACACACACACACACACACACACACAAATTTGGGAAAAGATTGCTAATAATTTGGCAAAAAAATGCAATTCAAGGTGATCAACTTTAAAGCCCTTCATGGCTTTAAAGATGACCTGAGTAACCTGGGTCCAGGTAATGGGATTGGCCCGTACCATTTGTGCAGGCATAGGTGCAGGCATAGGTGGCATGCTGCAGGTCCCGTTAGCCTGATTATTCCAATTGGTGGGGTCTAGGAGGAGCTGTTGCTCCTGCCCTCTGGGATATCTTGCCCCCCCCCCGATGTGAGGTTGGCACCAACCCTCTTTTCAGAAGGGCTTATGGACCTGGCTCTGCTAGTTGGCTTGGGGCTCCAGGAGGGGAAAACAGCGGAATGGGAGGTGGTTGTTAGAGTAATAACAGATCCCACTTCCCCCCTCCCCCTGTGCCCTTGGTTTCAATGTCTGGTAAGATGGGCAGCCAATAAAATTTATAAATAAATAATAAGATTCATAAAATCAAATATATCTATGCACTGCATATGTACCAAACTAGTACACTTAAGAGTTAAAAATCAAAACTATGCTTTTCATACATATAGATTTGGAAATCTGTACTTTGGTCATAAATCCTGCATGTTCCCTTGTTGAAAACAGCTTGATAAAACTCTAAAGGGCTCATAAAGAATAATGCAACAACAGCAGGATACCATAAACAACATACTGAAATAATAGATGCAAAGTTACAAGAAGAACGTAATTTACCAATTTACCAGCTGTATCAATTCACATATTCAGAGTTCTCTCCTTAAGTTTGTATAACAAGGAAACATCTGTTCAAAATTCAGCTGTTTACACAACTATGAAAAGATGCTGCTTGACACCACAGGACTATCATTTCTGAAATAATATATTGGCTCTAAATTAAGAGAAACCCAAGAAATTGTTATGATAGATAGATGATAGACAGATAGATAGATAGATAGATAGATAGATAGATAGATAGATAGATAACCAAACTTTCAAAATGTTATGCTTGCTATTGTCATTGCAGATACATTAATGGAAGTCCATGATTAATTAGATGTTAAGTGGTACCTCACAACACAAGATTTATAATCAAATATAAAGATGGCGTAAGAGGGGAAAATGCATAAGTTTCATTTTAGAATTCTGTATTTCTGAAATACAGGTATCAAGGGTAATATGATTTCTATGTGGTTTTTCATGTGCAAGATGTTGGGATTTTTTATGTACAAGACTTGGTGACCATCTCTCCTTTATTTATTTACTTAGGCTTCTATACTTCTAAATGCCCATAGGCACAAAGCAGAACATCCTAACTAGGGTTAAAAGAGACACTAAGAAAGCCGACTGTTCAGCTCCCCACCAACCATAACAGTGTTATCCTGAGGGAGTAACCAAACTTCCATATGTCCAAATGCTGCCTTGTGTTCTTTATATTACCAGCTTCCAAAATAGAAATACAAAAAGGGAAAAAGGCACGTGCAGCTCTTTCATATATGCCTCTAATGGTCTGATTTGGGGGAATTTGGGCTAGACAATCATTGATAAGTTTGGACTAGGGGACAAATCACCTTCATCCACAGTTGTAAATACTGCATGTGGGGCATGGAGGAGCGGGGAGAAGGAAGGAAGATAAAACCCGAAAGCGATGAAATCACCCAGTCTTCACAAAAACCACATCATCTTTATCACAGACATCATCATCACCAAAATTTTCACATTACATCCCCTCCCCCCAAACCCCTCACTCTTTAAAAAGAAGAAACAGATTCTAATGTATTCTATCTACATGATATCTGTATTTTCCCATTCAGGATATAATGGCATTAGGGAAAGAAGATTGGGGATTTTTAAATGGGGCTGCCTAGATATTTCAGTGGACACAGAATGCAATGGCAGTGTACAGTATATTACATTTGTGCTCCACAAGCTGCACTAATTGCCTGTTTGCTTCCGAGTCTCAATCAAAATATTGGTAGATAGATGAGAAAGAGAGAGAGAGGGAGAGGAGGAGGGGGAGAGGGAGAGACCCCACCACCACAGGAGAAATCCCATATATTCCATAAATTACCATATATTAGTCAGCTTCAATGTGCTAGGGCAGGGGTGTCAAACTCCCATCGTCATGGTGTCGCCACGTGAAGTATTGTGACTTTTCCCCTTTGCTAAACTGGGTGTGGGCGTGGCCAGCGCATGACTCATCCAGCCCGTGAGCCATGAGTTTGACAGCCCTGCGTTAGGGTATCAACTGAGTCATTTGATAATGCCATAGTTCCTGGGACTCTCTAGGTCCAGTTCAGCATAATTTAAGATGAATAAGTTCCTTAAGATGGCTGGGTTGCCTCAGTACTTCTCTGTTTTCACTACTCAGTAAATGCTTACTGAAGAAAAAAGCATATAGAATACCAAGAGTAAAGAGACTTTGATGTTATACTGACATTAAATAAAATTCTACTGATCCTTATAAATAGCGAAATAACCATTTCCATTTACAACTTATAAAAACTAAAATACCTTAAATCTAATCACTATTTGTAAATCACAATAATGATAACACAATAAAAATACATTTTTACCCTACCATTATACATTTGGAACTTTGTGAGTTTCCCCCTCTTTCTTAATTCAACTTGGTATGCTAGCACTACAACAAAATGATTCCTCAGACAAATTGCCTTTTCTATGAGTTTCTTATCACAAAACTACAAAATATTTCCTTTTTGCTGGCTCCATCTAATGGCTGATTCTGATTTTGCAATCGTGACTTTTTATAAGCTTCTAAGACATAGCTTTAAAAAACTCTGATGAAATTTATTTTCAAATATGCCACATGGCAACATTTGCTACAAACTATTTATCTCCTTATAAACATAGTTTCAAACTACTATTAAAATAGTTGGTTATTTTAATACTGAATTGTACAAATATTATAAATCTGTCACCTGATTTTTTTTAAAAAAGCCATAAATAAAATCGCATGAGCATTAATATAGTAATGAATCAGTAATAACAGCAAAAACCTGTATATCAAAGTAGAAAAGTAATACACATATGTATCATATAAAGTTTTTCTCCTTGAGTGAGTACATCTGATTCTTAAATATTTTCCCATAAAACTACAGCTAAATATTTGTCAGTGAAATGGCATGGATTGTTCTTTCTTTTTCAACGCTGCAACAGTTTGACTGTATCTCATATATTTATAACATGTCTTCCTGCAGTAATGAAATTGCATAATGTATGTTTTGCATCCCAAACATCCTGCTGGCTTAGTATTTATGGGTGAAGAATTATGAACCTAGTCACAATATTTTATGGGAATGCATGTTTTATTATGCAGCATATCATTCCCAGATAATGAAAACTTCCTTGAAATAATAAATATTGCTGGTTTATTGGGAAACAGATCACTGCATAAATTGTAAGGTTCAAAATTACAGTAGATAGGAATATATTTTCCACGTGAACTTGAAAGTATAATCCCAGTGTGATGAAGATCCATCTGTCATATCTGAAATTAACTCTAGGTTGGCTGCAACAGCTGCTCTGTTTCATTAAGTTCAGTGTCAAGCTATGTCCTTCTGCAAATATAGAAGGAAGTCTAACAACTAGTTTCTTCCTTATCCAGCTATGTAGTTAAATGTTGACATAATTTATTTGATTGTTTACTCTTTTGTTTATTTCTGCTGTTGCCAACTGCTCAGAAGAGGGTAGAGCTGTTAATACAACCTATTCCTCCCAAACAAAATAATCCAGTTTAATGTTTTTTGTAGAATGTTCTATTATGGGTCTTCAAGATGAACTCGCTGGTTCATCTAATCCAGATTCCTGCTAGAATAGTCCACCTCAGTACATAGAACAAACTATACTAACTTTCTGCTATAGAAATTAACACAATTTCCTAACTGCGTGCCTCACTGCTTTCTTTCGTATGCTAGCTTTATCCTTTTGTCAATAATTTTTACTTATTTATAAGACTCTAAGGCTGATTCAGATTTGTGCATATACTTTCCACAAGAACGTTTCCATGCTAGGCCTAAGAAGTGGCGAAGGAAAGAAGGAAAGCAGACTGAATTGTCTGATTTCCAAGCATGTCGATACCTTATAACCTTATAGACTTTCTCACTTCAAATCAGAGGAATAGGATTGGTGACAGCTTATCCTCATTCTTTAAACCCTGCGCAATCCTGCTTTGTAAGGAAGTGGGGATATGGCTAAAAAGAGTCCCTGAAATGAAGTCATTTCATGCACCCATATTCTGAGGGAAGCAGTTTTTTAAGCAGCTGTAGATGCCTTCTAAAAAAAAAAAACCCGGGGTTACTTGTCATGCTCCCACATGTTGTGAACACCCTCTTAAAATGCTCTGAATAACCTAACAAATGTGATTCACTGCCTTTAGGCTCCATTATACAGAGATCTACAGGTTTAGAAGAGGTTACTGTGGTAGAAGGAATGATCATTCACATGAGAGATGGGGTTATAAGGGAAAGAGATGCAAAGTTAGCACCTACAACCCCCAATATATCTGAAAATTAAGGGGGAAGAAACAATGGTGAAAACATTTCTTAACAAATTTACCAACCTGCTAAAGAATCTTCTCAACCTTAGCAACTTTTAAGATCCTGTGGACTTCCATTCCCAGAATTCCCCAGACAGCATGCTGGATGTGCCAACATGCACGTGCACTTAAAGTTGGCAAAGTTGAGAATTACTGCTTTAGCCTTTTATTTGTTAGCTGCAGGCAAGCAATAACATTGTTCACATATAATACATTTCTGTATTTTAATAAATACCTCGGCATCGTATTCCCAAAGTTGATTTCCTCTCATGTGATGGCACTTCAGCATAATTACAGGCCCATTGAGCCTAGAGACATCCATACATAAATCATCTGTGCGAATTTCCTTGTCGGCAGTGTATGAAAATACCTGGAAGAGAGAAGTTCTGTTGGTAAAATAACAGCTAATGCTTAAGAGAAAAAGTTAGTACGGACATGAAAAGCATATAGAAAACAAATATTTTGTTTCAAACCTGGTAACTCCCATTTCATCCATTGTCTAGCCCCGTGATGGCGAACCTATGGCACGCTTGCCACAAGTGGCATATGGAGCCATATCAGTGGGCACGCGAGCGTTGCCCTAGCTCTTTGGGCCTTCTGGGCCCACTGGAAGTTGGCAAATGGGCTATTTCTGGCCTCTGGAGAGCCTTCGGAGTGGGGGTGGGGAAGGCTGTTTTCACACTCCCCAGGCTCCTAGAAAGGTTCTGGAGCCTGGGGAGAGTAAAAAACGGCACTTCCGGTCCCACAGGAAGTCAGCAAATGGGCAGTTTCCGGCCTCCGGAGGGCCTCCAGGAGGGTGTGGAAGGCCCTTTCTGCCCTCCCCAGGCTCTGGAGCTTGGGGTTAGTGAAAAATGGGCCCACTGTGCCCATCATGTGCTAAAAGCAGGGGGACCGCGGAGGGGGGTCTTGCATGCATGTGCAGGGCGGTGGGGTGCATTGAATTATGGGTGTGTTCCCCCCGCTTTTGGCATGCAATGGCAAAAAGGTTAGACATCATTGGTCTAGCCATTCCAATGATTGTGAATGCACACAAGAAAGATTTTGGCTTTGACCTCAGGTCAGCAGTAGGGAATATGTATTTTGTTTCCTAATCTGTATTATATACAGATAGTTCTCATGTAATAACCATTCATTTACTGACCATTTGAATTTATGACAGCGCTCAAACAAGTAGTATTTATAACTGGTTCTTGTTGTTGCAGCTATCACAGAATTTCTGTAGTCACGCAAACATGATCTGGGCTCATGGCAACCAGCTCGCTGTTTGAAGCTGCAGCATCTTGCAGTTATGTGATCACCCACAAAGTCAATGAGGAAGCCAGTAAGAGGTCGCAAACGGCGACAGCGTAATATCATGCTTAATAACACTGAAATTCGCTTAATAACAGCAACTTAAAGGTGCCAGGACTGCCGTCGCTAAGCAACAGTCACGTGACTTTGCATTATGCAACTGCAGTTCCAATCGCCATCATTAAGCGAGGATTACCTGTTATCTTAACTATATGAAAAGCGAAGTAATACAATGAACTAGTTCGTGTTCTCTGAAAAGCAACTGAAGAATGAAATCCTATACATCAAATATTCTTGTAACGTTAAAGTGACAGAACTGGATATAGAATTGTGTTGTACTCTACTTGATTACCAAGATTAAAGTTGCGTACATTGTATTTTTATGGCAGTAAGCGTCATTGAATTTAATGGGGCTCGCATTTCAGTAGTCAAATATAGTGCTTCTTTTTCAAAATAGTCTGTAATGATAATCTTGGCAATTGCGTTGCATGTATAAACCATTAATTACTCCAAGATTCCTAGCAGACATTTATAGAAAAATAGGGTTGATTCTGCTAAAAAAAAACCCTAGAATTACTAGGATGGATTTTGATTGCAAGACCATTTGAGTGACTAGGGAAGCCTGGATGTCATACACTCTATCACAATACTCTATTACAAATTGTGGCAAGCAATTAAAACACAAAAATAAATTCTGAACACAGGGAGCGGTTATGAGGACAAAAATAAAGCACAAATATGTTTTCAATAAGTTCAAGCTTTGGGATATTATAATCATGTAAATAAATACTCAAATGTTGTTTATGAAAAGGTTGATTCTAATGGAGATACAGCTGAGAATATTTTTTTTTAAAAAAATCAGGTTTTTGAGAAGTATAATTCAATTATGTAGATTTAATTTTCGTGTATGCCATTACTGTTTTATTGTTAAATAGATTGATAGATTGATAGATTGACATAGCCTGAGAGACATTTAAGATCTACATCAAAGGCACTTGGTTCAAGTCTTCTAATGGCAATTAACTTGATAAGCAGTCTTCGCCTTAAATGGTCCCTGAAATATGAGGTAATATTACTGAACTCCTTATAAATTCATTTTAGGCATGATAGAATTCAGCCCTGTAAAGCACCTTACAGTGTTATATAAATGTGAAACGTTAGTTCTCAAGTAGCTTAATTAATCATGTTATAAATATTAAAAATAGCACATGACAATTATTAACATGATTCATGCAAATATTACAGGAGAGGTGGATACACTGTTTTTTTCCAGCATATATTTTTCAGAGAAGGGAGAATATACGATAATACAAAAATTGGATTACACAGTTTCCCTTGCTATTTTGTCTTCTTTCCAGTCAGTCTATTAGTCAGAGTGGGCCTAGGAAAATGCACCTGCCCCCATGAACCAAGCTGTAGAAGTAAATAGATTTTATTTGATTTTGTTTCCAGAGCTGTTCTTTGTGTTTGTGTGTTTACTTTTATTTGTAAGCCACCCAAAGTCATTTGGAGTTGTTGTATAAAAATTGTATAAATGAACATAAATACATAAATAAAATTCTAGTTTCATAAGATCTATTGATGGTGGCTGTTTCTCCAGGAAAAGGTACATAAAAACATGCTGAATCTCGTTTGGTTCAAAATTTGAAAGTGATAGGAATATCTTTGATGGGTTTTTAGATTTGAAATGTTTATCTCAGGGGTAAAATGCTACCGGTTCACTCTGGTTCGGGTGAACTGGTAGTGGCAGCAGCATGTGGTTTAACGAACTGGTAGCAGCGGCAGTGCGAGGCTCCGCCCACCCATTTGGATGTCATTACTTCCTGGTTTTAACCAGGAAGTAACCAATTTTTGACCCTCTGTGCATGCACAGAAGGCTTTGCACATGCACAGGTCTATAATCAGATGTGAAGATGGCGCACATGCGTGCACTTCTGAACCGGTAGGGAAGGTAAGTAGATTTCACCCCTGGTTTACATATACACACAGAACATACCATAGATGTTGGTGGGGAGGGGATGAAGGCAAGAGGGATTAAGAAATGAAATGTGTGCTATGATGAAATTCTGCACTTGGTAATGCAAAATCTACTTTTTATGTACTTGTATGCAATGTTGCATACAAGTATGAAAGGGCAGAACTTGCATCATAAGGACACGGTGGACTTTTTATGATTCTGGCATCCTTACGCATGGCTGATGGATACATCCCCTCCCCCCCATATGTACTGCACAAGACTGACTTGGAGCAGCAGAAGACTTTAGATGCAGCAGCATTATAACAGAAGTGTAGTTGGTTAAATTTGGGGTGTAAAAACGAACAAGTGTAAGATGAAACAGACAGTGAGAAAGGAAAGCAGGAAAGAGAAGAAAGAAAAGGGTGCAGAGAAGAAAGAAAAGAGTGCATTCTGAAAGAGTGCAGAGAAGAGCAACAAAGATGATTGGGGACTGGAGGCTAAGACATATGAAGAACTGTTGCAAGAATTGGGTATGTCTAATCTAGTGAAAAGAAGGACTAGGGGTGACATGATAGCAGTGTTCCAATATTTGAGGGGCTGCCACAAAGAAGGGTTTTCAACATATTCTCCAAAGCACCTGAGGGCAGGACATGAAGCAATGGGTGGAAACTAATCAAGGAGAGAAGCAACCTAGAACTATGGAGAAATTTCCTGACAGTGAGAACAATTAATTAATCAGTGGAACGCTTTGCCTTTAGAAGTTGTGGAAGCTCCATCACCAGAGGTTTTTAAGAAAAGATTGGTCGGCCATTTGTCTGAAATGGTATACGGTCTCCTGCTTGTATAGGAGGTTGGAGTAGAAGACCTCCAAGGTCCCTTCCAACTCTTTTGTTAAGAAGAAACATTATAAAGGGGAAAGATAGAAATTACTAATTCCAAGATGCCACTTGATTTGAAGCCAGTTCTTGGTTAAAATAAAATTAAGTGAAATTGAAGCAATATAAGTGGCATCTATTTTAATTATTTACAAGGCTTCCAATTATTTTGAATTCAGCCCTCAACCAACTTAAAAGTATTCTAATCAAAAGTAAAGGAAAAGTGTTCTCTCTTAATTGTTGAAAGCAACCTTTTGCCAATTAACTACAGAATGCTGCCTTTGGCGAAGTGTACAAATTGAATTTGATTGCATTACCAATTAGAGAGCGTCTGCAAATCATTCTAAGTTACCAATTAGGTGCATTATAAAGGAAAAAGATTAAAAACAGATCTAATCACAATTTATTGTTAATATTCTAATATTTAGTTACACATGATACAAAGTTCCATTATAAAAGAATGTTGCAAAGGCTTACGGTAAACTCCAACTATACATATGTAAATACAGTTTATATAAGCGACTTCTAATAGCATGCAAGAAGGAAAAATGCTTTAATTCTTAATTTATCATTCAGATATTTTTCGACAATTAAGGGAATAGAAATTCTTTTCACATAAGAGATTTTTTAAATGTATGGAGAAAATATATAGGGTTACTTAATGCCATTTCAGATGATGTTGGCCTATATAAATAAAGGACTCTTGCATTAATTTAAAATAAGTAACTGAAGTGCAACAGTCAAGTTCATTTGGGAAGGATAATACTACATGCATAACCCAGATGACTGGATATTCTTTTGAAGAAAATATTATATTGCTGATTTTTTGAATGTAGTAAGGAATATATTAATTGCACCTAATGTTTTAATTTACTTAATTGAATATGCCTACTGCATATTAGTTTTATGAGACACTTGGAATCTAGCCTTTATTAGAAAAAACTTAGAGAATTTGTGCATCTGTGAGAGGAGGCAATGTCCTCTATATACTTCTTTTAAAATGTAAATGTGGATATAGGACTAACTTGCTATCATCATAAATTGTGTGACGGTCATTATGACATATCAATACATTTGTATCAATTTCTATCTTGTTGCTCTACTTCCTTTTTAAGACCCTGCAATCCCTTAAAGTACATAATTTCTACAAATTATTTTAAGAATGTCAGAAATAGCCTTCAAGAGATTACATATTCTTATAAATAACAAAAGGAATGTCCCAAATAGTTGAATCCAAGGCAGGGAAAAAAGCTCTTATAAGCTATAATGTAGTTGATAAATGATTTTTTTTTTTTTTTAATGAATTAATCTTAGTTACAGTGATTCAAAATCAGGGCAGAATGTGCCTGGAAGCTGAAATTAACTAGTCTACAACTGTAAGAAGGTTCATATTTATTATATTCCCAGCATTAAGAATAAGCCTTCATATTTAACTTAGAATGAATGAACTACTGACAGTGAGAAGGTCAGTGGAACGGGGCTTGCTTTCAGAAGTTGTGGGTGCTCCATCACTGGAGGTTTTTAAGAAGAGACTGGACAACCATTTGTCTAGGATGGTATAGGGTTTCCTGCTTGAGCAGGGGGTTGGACTAGAAGACCTCCAAGGTCCCTCCCAACTCTGTTATTCGGCTATTCTATTCTGTTATTCTGTTAATTGGGAAAGGGAGGGGGGATATTTTTTCCTTTCCAATTCAACATAAAAAAATTGTATTGTAGGTCTCTGGATAGTGAAATGGGTGGTGTATATATATTAATAAATAAATGTAATAAATAAAATAGACAGAAAATCCAGCAGTGCAATCAGAAGGGAATTGGGGCTCCAGAGCATCAAAACAGCACTCTGGGTAGATTGTCCATTTCTACTTTTATTGACTTGTAGCAATCACATAGGTATGGCCGGTCTGCAACCTGGTCTCCCAATGGTGCACACATCACTGCTGCAATTGTTCTTCTACCTTCCTGTTAGTTATCCTTTCTCTTTCTTTTCATTGCTATAGACTTTTCAAGGCAGCCATGTCTTCACATATCACATATTATATCCACAATGTAATTTAAAGCTGATCATTTGTACCTTGAAAAAGAATTCTGGATTAATTTGTTCCATTTGTTGGTTTGGCTACACTCGTGTATCCATGTATTCTCATGAGTATTCCAAAATTCAAAAGCAGTGATTCTCTTTCTCTCCTGATTCTTCAAAGTCCAACTTTCACTTCCATAGAGCGTCACAAGGAAAACCACTGCCTGCATGATTCTCATTTTTGTAGGTACAGACACATCATAGCACCAGATTATTTTTTTTCCCAAGGCCTTCACTATATGCCCCTATGAATTAACCTGCATATTTCTGGACTGCTAGCGCCTTTACTATTAATAGTTGATCCTAAAAGGATGACATTATCCATTACATCAATATCTTCATTGTCAGTACTAAGACTGGTTGCTGTACCTGTTCTCATTAGTTCTCATCTTCTTCATTTTAATCGCAGTCCCCTTTTTTTTTTATTTGTGCTCCTTGACTTTCATTACTAGAACTTGCAGATCATTTGCATTTTCAGCTATCAGAGTAGTGTCATCAGCGCACGCTTATGATGTTTCTTCCTCTAATTTTAACACTATGCTAATCTTGCAATTCAATCATTCCCCCCCCCCAATATTTGCTCAGACTGAATAAAGGAGGGGAGAGGATACTGTCTTACCCAGTGGTATATTAACTATTAAGCAGACTAAGCAGGTGCTTAGGGCACCAGGCCCAAAGGGCAACCACAAAGTTGAGAAAGAAAAAAAAACCAATGAAGATTTGTAGCAGCTTGGCTTCGTTTGTACAGTATGTACAAAGGAGGGGGGGCACCAAGATTTGTCAGTGTTTAGGGCACCAGTGAGCCTTAATCCGCCACTGGTCTTATCTTACTCTTTTCCTGACTAGGAGCCTGTCTGTTTTGCCATGTTCTATTCAGATTGTGATTTCCTGTCCTGGGTTTAGAATTCATATAAAAGATGGTTCAAGATTCCCATATGTCCATATTCCCATAAGGACATTTCACCACTTGGCATGCTCACCGCAATAAAATAAAATAAAATATAGTCAATGAAGCATTTGACATCTACTTTCACTGAATTTAAAATTGTAGGAAATTAAATATTTGTATATTTAAAGTGAAATTAAGCTTTAGTTCTTATGCAAAAAATGCCAATGTTCTGAGTTAATTTTCTTTAAAATAATGGAAAAAAGCCTCTCTGTTCAATTCTTTCTTACTCCATCTCCTGCAATCTGTTATATATGGACTAGAATTTGCACTTTTGTCTGAGAACTATCAAAATATAGTAGGATTAGTGGGATTAAATTTGTCTAAGAAAAATAGGGACAATTACTTACTTTGTTCACTTAAGACGTTTTAATATATCTTAAAGCAAAGCCCAGCATAATATAGCACAATATAGGACAAGCTTGTAATATAATTGTTGGAATCTCAAGGAAGCTTCAAACTGCTTAAATAGATATTTCATCAGTGGCCTTTTCTTTTTAAACAAATTTGATTTTATTCTGTGTTGATTCACTTAGGAAAATAAGCATTATCTAAGCATTCAGATTTTGGGAGGAAAATGGATCCACACCAAGTTTCAAACTATTCCAAGTTCTAATGGAACAAAACTTAAAATGTTTAAAGTGTTCTAAGATAGGGAACAATGAAACAACAGCATCATAGCAACTCTATCTGAAATGCACACAGCCCTATATATCCTTTCTTAATAAACTCAGCTTTAATCCATGGCCTCATCAGTGCAATGAAACAAGCATCAGGACTGAAGTTCTATCCCTTACATGTGCATAGTTTTGCCACATAGGTACAAAAGGACAGAAGCTGTTATTGTGATATTGTAATGTTTATTTTGTCACTCCCCCCCACAACATTAATGCCTATTATCAATGGCTAAACTTTAGAAATAATTTTTAAAATAGGATATAGTTTACCTGATTTCCTCCCATGCCATGACAGTTGAATATGCCTACTTTTTCATTTTCTTTACGCCCCATGTTATCTAAACATTGGTTTGTCTCAACATTTCTGATCTGTGGAAAAAAATAAAAACAAGTACATTTCATAATAATTATTACAAGATTCATAGTTAAGGGAAAAAAAATAGCAGGAATGTAATGGTTTTTGAAATTACGTAAAATATAGGATGATGCCAAATTACACAAACATACTTACGCTGAGTTCAGTAAGTCTCCAGTAAGCGTGTTTACTCAGTGCCATTAGATGCACTGGAAACCAGGCACCTCTTATTTGTAAATAAAATATCAAGTTGTATTAATCGTAGTTTTGTCTAAGAAACGGTACCACTATTTTTATTTGTGCAGAAGAGATAATTTCTATGAAAACTACCATATTTTTTGGAGTATAAGACGCACCGGAGTATAAGACGCACCTACCTTTTTTGGTGAGGAAAATAAGAAAAATAAATCTCCCTCTGCCTCTGAGCAATTTTGCCTCGCTGCTGCAAACAGCAAACAGCCTGCTTTACTTTCATTTTCATTTTCAGCATAGCTTGATTAACACAAGGGGGAAAAAAAATCTGCTCCCGCAATTTACCTCTTTGCAGTAAGCACCAGAGCCCTGTGCAAAACAGCTGAGAGCAAATCACCTGAGAGTCACAAGGCTGATCCAATCAACTTGTGCTAATTAGGCTGAAGCTGAAAGGAGCTGTTTTTTCTTGCTGTTTGCTGCAAGGAGGTAACTGCTGCGAGGCAGAGGCCAAAGGGTGGGTGGGCGGGGCTACATTCGGTGTATAAGACGCACCTAAATTTTCACCCCCTTTTTTTGGGGGGGAAAGGTGCGTTTTATACTCCGAAAAATACGGTATGCTTTCGAAAGTACTGCTTTTGGAAAGTGACATTCCTAGATAGCTTTCAATGAAAGATAACAAAAAGAATGTACATTGTGCTCGATTTTAGTGCTTTTATTACTTGCACAAATAAAATTCTATTTGTTTCTCAGCATTCCTTATATTTTAGAAGATCTTCCAAACATTATCATTGAAGTAAAGCTTCAGATCATATGTGCAATATTCTCAATACAAAGTAAACCTTTGCTATATATTTCAGCCTGGAAAACATCTTTTAGACAATGCTGTTTCTTTCTGTGGAAAACAATAAAGACTTTTTGTACTCAATGCTGAGAACCAAGCCCATTGCAGAGCAAAAAATGCTTAAAACAATTAAGGTGGATAATTTTTTAAACTGAGAAAATTGGTAAACAGATAAAGGTAATGGATAGGCTTTTGGATTTTGTGTAGATCATTGCTACTGTCCTTTCTCTGGAAGCTTGCCAAGACTTCATTAGTTCCAATTCTCCACACAATTCCTTCTTACTTATATATCCTATCTCCTAAAGACACTGCAAGGTAATACTTGCAGATAATCCTCAGTTGCTGACATTCGCTCAGCATCCATTCTGAGGGGGGCCCGGCCCTATGGAATGAATTGCCCCCGGACATACGAAAGATCCCCGACCTCCGCGCCTTCCGTCATGCTCTGAAGATCCTATTATTCCAGCAAGCCGGTCTGACGGGATAAAGGATTTTAATTGGGTTTTGATAGGGGTTTTAATAACGATTTTAGTTGGGTGTTTTAAATTTGGCCAGTGATTGAATTATTTTACTAAGTTTTTAAATTTTTTGTCTTGTATATTGTTTTTACCATGGCTGTTCACCGCCCTGAGTCCTTCGGGAGAAGGGCGGTATATAAATATAATAAAATAAAATAAATAAATAAATAAATAAATCCATTCAAATTTAAATTTACAACAGTGTTGAAAATAGAGACTTATGACTGGTCCTCAAAGTTGAAGCTGTCACAGCATCCTATGGTCATATGATTGCCATTTGTAACCATCCCAGCCTGCTTCTGACAAATGAAGTGAATGGGGAAGCTGGCAGGAAGTAGCAAAGTCAAGCTGACAGGAAGTTGCAAGTTGAAGTCATATGACTTGACAAATGGGACACATTTAAGATAGTTGCAGCATCCCACAGTCACATGATCACTGTTTGCAACCTTCACAGCCAACTTCCAACAAGCAAAGTCAATGGGGAAGCCAGCAGGGATTCGCAACTTGCAGTCCTGTGACACCACGTTTAATGACCTACACTGATTTGCCTAATAACCTGCAGTCAGAACTGATGAACTGACCTTGTACATTGGTGCAATCACGTGATATTGTGCTTAATAATTGTGTCACTTAGCAATGGACCTGCCAGTCCCAATTATGGTTGGTAATTGATAACTACCTGTAAAAATGGCTAGTCAGGCAAGTAAGGATATGTAAGCAGATACAGGTGGAAAATTCTCTTTCAATTTTCTTGCTAAGAACTCTTTCAAGGTACACCATCCCAGCGTTGTCCTCACATTTGCTTAGAAATTAGACCACATAAATTTATTCAACATTACATGGTGTAACCCTAACCCTAACCCTAACCTGTTTTACATTTACAGTTGCAGGGACCATAAATGGCAGATTATAATGACCATCCTTTTAGAAATATGGAAAAGAACTATGGAATTTTTTATGCAGCTGAAAACGTCTACTTCAAATAGCAGTCACTGAGAAGAGAATCACATGGAAATCTCTTTTAAATGTGAATATGTTAAATAAGGAGTGTAAACTCAGTCTTAAAGTAAGATATTATATTTTGCTCCACCACTTTCATTAATGGAAATGAATGAATTCCAAGTTCTCTCGTGAAATGTCCATTAAATAAAATGTGAATACATATTCAGGCTACCCACTCCAAACATTTTTTTTTAAAAAAATAGATATTAAGATACCCAATGTCTGAACTGTAGGCAGTTTCTGCCTAAGCACTTGGACAATCCTTTTTATGAATCTGGACTTCAATGATTAGCTTTTTATTAAAACAGAGCTAAAAGAATAAAAAAAGAGATATCTATTTCTCAGGGGAACAAATAGTACTTAATCAGGATTTGTTTATTAAGTAAAAATTGGACAAGCTTCATTAAACTAGTTAAGGACTTCCTTCCAGCAGCTTTAACATTTTACGTGTCGTAATTTTCATTTCTGAATGTCAAAAAGATATCTAATTGAGTAAAATGATAATTATTATATGATAATACTCTAGGAGATCTAGATGCTAACATAATTGGTTTCAATTCTTGCTTTAAAAATTACTGTGAATGTTCTCAGTATAAACTGGGTATAAATTCAGGCCTAAATTAAATTACACTTACAGTACTTATCTGAGTTATTTTTTATTTTAAAAAACACATTCTTATGCAAAAAAACTCTCCCCCATTCATACCTCTCCAAGGGAGTAATAACGACGTGGAATCTGAGAATCTGGATACACATTTTCTAGGTACCATGAAAATGGTTTACATTTCAAATTTTCTCTCAATGCTTTTCTGACTGATACATCTCCGTAATCCACTTTGACAACTCCTATATTGTTAGGGGAGGAAAAAGAATATTCAATATTCTTTTTAATAGATCAAAGACACATTTTTAGCACTTAATTATACAAATTTTACAATAGATTATAAACATTACCTTTAGGTCAGTAAGGCATAAACAATATACATAATTCTCTCTTCTTACTGTCATGCTATTGCTCAAATATTTTGTTATATTTATATACCATCAGGAGTTCAAGTGATTCTAAGAAAGAATGACTGCCTCTAAGTTACTCTGTGAATCTCTTTGTATGAGAGTTCAGATAGTCCTCATTTAGTGACTACAATTGGGACTGGCAACTTGATGATTAAACAAAGTGGTTACTAAATGAAAAATAATGTGACCATAAACTGTGCTTACGGTTTTACTTCAGCTTTCCTTTGTTTTTGTTAATCAAGTGTGAGAAGAGTTAGGGTTAAGTTTCCAGAATTCAACTCACAAGGAAAATGGAAAAATGGACAAATCTTATAGCCATTTCCCCCCATTCTTTTGTCCTTTGGAATGATCACCCCAGCCCTGTGATAATTAACAAAAAAGGAATTAAAGTTTGTATTTACATACACTGGAGAGGAAGGGATCTCAAGAGAGTAAGCAAGCACACAATGAGGAATACACACTGAAAGCAATGTACTGGCACCAGCTGTTTGCCTAGCAGTCTCACACTGCAAGTCACAGGGCAAACAAAAGCCTTTAGTGTGAAACTGATTAGGATTTTGTTAGTATCAGGAAGCAGTACCAGCTTGCTGGAAGGCTCTAATCAACTAATGAAGGTAACAGCTGAGCTTGTTAACTTGTGGTTAGCACTTTTTTTAAAGGGATGCATTGTGCTATGGAGAAAAGTAGCTCAAGAAGAGATTGTTTGTTTAGGCGATATCTCTGTGCTGTGAAGTTTGGGGGGGGGGGGGGAGGATCAAGATTTTGTTAATATAGCCTTAAAATTAAATAGAATTATTTCATCTGGTCATGCTTCCTGTCTAGTTTACCTGAGAAACTGACACTGAGACACAGATACCATGAAGTTCATAAATGGTATTGGTCACAAGTTACTTTTTCATCATGATTGTAACTGCAAATGGTTGCTGTCCGAGGCAGTTGCTAAATAAAGACTACCTGTTGGCTTGAACCTGGGGTTCCACACATTAAATATTATATCAAGGTGTTATATCAAGGTGTTTTTGTATATATTATGTATATATGAATTATAATACAGTTGCAAGAAAAAGTATGTGAACCCCTTGGGATTATGTGGAGTTTTGCATGAATTGGTCATAAAATGTGCTCTGAACTTCATCTAAGTCACAACAATAGAAAAACACAGTCTGCTTAAAATAATACTAAACAAACATTAGATGTTGCCATGGTTTAATTGAACATAACATGTAAACATTCACAGTGCAGGGAGGAAAAAGTATGTGAGCCCCTAGCCTAATGACTTCTCCAAGAGCTAATTGGAGCCAGGAGTGAGCCAACCTTGACTCCAATCAGTGTGATGATATTGGATGTGTTGCTGACAGCTGTCCTGCCCTTTAAAAACACACACCTGTTTTGGGTTTACTGGTTTCAAGAAGCACTGTCTGATGTGAACCATGCCTCGCAGAAAAGAGCTCTCAGAAGACCTACGATCAAGAATTGTTGACTTGCATGAAGCTGGAAAGGGTTACAAAAGTATCTCCAAAAGCCTTGATGTTCATGTGTCCATGGTAAGACAGACTGTCTACAAATGGAGAAAGTTTAGCACTGTTGCTACTCTCCCTAGGCGTGGTCGTCCTGTAAAAATGACTGCAAGAGCACAGCGCAGAATGCTTCATGAGGTAAAGAAGAATCCTAGAGTGTCAGCTAAAGACCTACAGAAATCTCTGGCACATGCTAACATTTTTGTTGACACATCTACAATAAGGAAAACATTAAACAAGAATGGAGTACATGGGAGGACACCATGGAGGAAGCCATTGCTGTCCCAAAAAAATATTGCAGCACGTTTGAAGTTTGCAAAAGAGCACCTGGATGTTCCACAGCACTACTGGCAAAATATACCGTGGACAGATGAAACCAAAATTGAGTTGTTTGGGAAGGGCACACAACACTATGTCTGGAGAAAAAAAGACACAGCACACCAACATCAAAACCTCATCCCCACTGTAAAAATGGCGGAGGGAGCATCATGATTTGGGGCTGCTTTGCTGCCTCAGGGCCTGGACGGATTGTTGTCATTGATGGGAAAATGAATTCCAGAGTTTATCAAGACATTTTGCAAGAAAACGTATGACCATCTGTCCGCCAACTGAAGCTCTGCAGAGGATGGGTGATGCAACAGGACAATGACCCAAAGCATACAAGTAATTCAACAAAAAAATGGCTTCAACAGCACAGAATACGCCTTCTGGAGTGGCCCAGTCAGAGTCCTGACCTCAACCCGATTGAAATGCTGTGGCATGACCTTAAGAGAGCAATTCACACCAGACATCCCAAGAATATTGCTACACTGAAACAGTTTTGTGAAGAGGACTGGTCCAAAATTACTCCAGATCGTTGTGCAGGTCTGATCTGCAACTACAGGAAACATTTGGTTGAGGTTATTGCTGCCAAAGGAGGGTCAACCAGTTATTAATTCCAAAGGTTCACATACTTTTTCCTCCCTGCACTGTGAATGTTTACATGTTATGTTCAATTAAACCATGGGAACAGCTAATGTTTGTATAGTATTATTTTAAGCAGACTGTGTTTTTCTATTGTTGTGACTTAGATGAAGTTCAGAGCACATTTTATGACCAATTCATGCAAAACTCCACGTAATCCCAAGGGGTTCACATACTTTTTCTTGCAACTGTACATCTACAGATTGCTCTCTAGTTACTCTTATTCCAATTGAGTAGCCCTGCAAGAGAGAAATTATAAACAGGGAAATATGGATCAATGAAACTAACTCATATTCCATAGTTCTTCAAGAGTTAAAATTTTCGCCCACCCCTCATGACACCCACACATCTATTGCTGCATCCCGATGCTCTGGAGTGCCTGCCCCCCATAATACAAACCCACCCACCCCAGTTTGCTCTCCTGTGGTCCTGTAGTTATAATGACAACCAGGACTAAAAGAACTGAAATATAACAATATTTCATTCTCTACATCAAGCATTGCTAGCTTGATGTAGAGAATGAATTGATGATGATAATTACATTGTAATTCTGTTATGATCATTCACACATTTAATGATTAGTTGCTTAGCAAGCATTCAAAGTTAAGACAGACCTCACAGAACTACATACAACCCATTTTAGAAGTTCTTATGGCCATAGTCCCGCACCCCAGTCACATAATTGCATTTTGGGTACTTGCCAACTGGCTTGCATTTATGGCTGTTTGCAGTGTCCCATGGTCACATGACTGCATTTTGGTGGGTTTTGCCAGTTTTTACCATTTACTTGGGATTCCCAGCAAAAACCACTATGTTTACTTATTGATTGCCACCAAAAAAAAAAAAAAAAAAAAACCCTGTAAAATCAGGTGCAGTTACATGGTGACCCACTTAATGACTGCCATATTTTACCATATAATATTTTACGACCATAATTTCGTGTCAATTATACTTGTAAGTTAAGGATTACCTGTATATATCTCAATGGACTAATTTTCTGACAAAATAATTGTGATCTGTTTTTTAAAAAAATATGACCTAAATTTTTATACATATAACACATATAGTTACAGTTTTCACATTAATAATTGACTTTAGTGATACAAGGGTTTTTTTAAAAAATGTATTAAGGATTATATCAAACAGATAAGAATAATAAAAAAAAACTGTAATACAGAAATACTTTAAAATGTGTGTGTGTTCACATAAAAGTGCAGGGTGACCACATACCCCAAATAAAATAAATATACCGTATTTTCCAGCGTATAAGACGACTGGGCGTATAAGACGACCCCCGAATTTTCCTGTTAAAATATAGGGTTTGGGCTATACTCGCCATATAAGACTACCCTCTTCCAACGCACACCAAATAAAAATTAAAAAACATCAACTGGCTCACCTACAATGTAAAAGTGTTAGACCCAAAATGGCCCCTGCAACAAGCAGGAACCTCACACAGCCACAAAAAGCCCCCCCCAAAAAACAACTTTCACACTTTACACACACACAACACAACACAATTGGCTCATCCACAAGGTAAAAGCAGCTGTGCTAGACCCAAAATGGCCCCTGCAACAAGCAGGAAAGTCACACAGCCACAAAAAGCCCAAAAAAACAACTTTCACACTTTACACACACACAACACAACACAACACAACTAGCTCACCCACAATGTAAAAGCAGCTGTGCTAGACCCAAAATGGCCCCTGCAACAAGCAGGAACCTCACACAGCCACAAAATGCCCAAAAACCCAACTTTCACACTTTACACACACAAAATTCCACATATAGCTTTGTGAGATTTTGTGAGTTTGTGTAGTTAGAGTGAAACACTACAAAAACACACTAAATCTCAGAAAGCTGCACAAATATTATTTTATTTTATTTTTATATGAAAGCTAAATTTAAAACTTCCTAAACTTTAAATGGCTAGGTCTAAAAAAGAACAACTTAAAAAAAAACCCCAATTAACTATTTTTTTTAAAGCTCCCAAAGGGGAAAAAAACTTACCCAATAGAACAGGGGTCTCCAACCTTGGCAACTTTAAGACTTGTAGACTTCAACTCCCAGAACTCCTCAGCCAGCTTTGTTTTGCTGGCTGAGGAATTCTGGGAGTTGAAGTCCACAACTCCCTGCCTGCTTGATTGCAGGCAGGGAATGGCTTGCTGATGGAATGGATTCAGGCAAGCGAAGCAAGGCAAGCGTTGCGACTAGCAGCTAAGGTAAGCAAGCTGGAGGTGGAAAACATTTTTCCTTCTCCATGGCTCTGGCGATCCCAGCTGAGTTGCCTGATTAGCAGATCGTCAGAGCTTGGATCTCCAGAGCCATTTAAGGCTCGTCAGAGCCTTTCGG